GCTGATTTACTTATACTGCATGCATCCACAATATGTCATATACAACAAGGTACATGTCATCCTTATCGTGCTGATTTACTTATACTGCATGCATCTACAATAATAAATCGATTAAGGCCCGAATCGAAGCGCGCGCAGGGACGAGGGACGTTTCGAGGGACGTTACACGTAGGTAGCAACTTTAATTTTCCAGCAGCCATTGCGAAACTAGAATTATCGAAAACTAGTTACCCAATTGCTGATTTTCAATCATTCCCAAAAAATGAAATAACAAAACGAGACACGGCGGCCTTGTTGGATGATATAACAAAAGCGACTAATGACGAATCTTTTGTTAAAATCTTCCAACATGGCGGCTGTGAAAACCATTAATTCTGATCAGCGGAACACGCAAGCGTCGAATTTTACATGCAGAACATCTTTAAATTTAATTTCCACCGATATCCGTATGTAAACCTGCCATTATATTATATGTAAAGTTGATCTTTTTCCTGTTTGTATCATCGACAGGAGAATATGAAACCGCTTTGAAAAAAGTAGAAGAAGCACTCGTTCTTGACTTCAAAAACCCGGTTTGTACCTTACCTTTTCGTCGTACTAAGAGGTGACACGGGATAGGAGAGTGGACACAAGCGGGTTATTAGTTAATTGCGGCTACTTTCTCCCCCCATTCCCCCCACCCCTTTAGTCTTTAGTGCTCCACTCTATCTCCCGCTCTCCGGCCCCCCTCCTTCTGATCCCAACACTAGATTAATTCAGTTCAGGATCTTCTCTTGTCTAGGGCAACCTGCGACCTTTTTTTGAAGAGAATACTCGCCATCTTTGCCACATTGATTTTTTCCCGAAATGCAACATTGGGTCTGCCTTTGTACGTAATTTGGCCAAGTCACTGACTGAGACAGTTTCTAATTCTGTTCTGTTTTACTTTCACACTAGGATCTGTTTTGCATCAGGGCCTGCATTTATTACCTTCTCAATAATAAGAAAATGGTGAGTTGTCACTTTGAATGAGTTTGTGAAACGTAGAGAAGCGGCTTATAAAATGCTTGTTGCGTCATCATGTGACGCATGCGCAGTTGGCAAGTTCTCATTGGTTGGCGATACTTGTGTTCCTTGCTCAGCAGACGAACTCACCAACACTGTTGTCACGCTCCTTTTTTTCAGGCGATGAAAGACGTAAACTTTGCAATCTGGCTGAGAACAAAGCACGTGTGCGCTTGGCTGTTAAGGGGGATTTTCAAAGAAAAGGAGGTAAAGAAGTCTTCCGTAAATGAAATATTTGTAGACTTTTCAGCTCGCTATAGACCAAATTCAAAACTCGCACCGATGTGAGGCTTAAGTTGTGAGCAAAGGGATCTGGCGTGACTCAAAGTAATCTGGCGTGATTCAAAAGTCGCGAATCACGCCAGATTCCTTTGTTCACAACTTAAGCCTCACATCGGTGCGAGTTTTGAATTTGGTCTATTTTCATGAAGAATTAATTGTAAATTTAGGGTGATGTATCTGTATTACACTAGCCTTTAACCTTTGAGTCTCGATTTCTAGTCTCGACGTCACTTGTGATCGAGTCTCCTACTTTATTTATGATTTTTGTCCATGACTTAGATCAGCCAGAAGTTGTTTCAGGGTTACGTCTGTGAGTTAGCCGTGCCCTGACTTAGATCAGCCCAGAAGTTGTTTCAG